ATTTCAACTGTATAGTTTAATAGTTTGAAGTGCATTCACGTTATTGTGCAACAATCACTACCATCTGTCTCCAGAACTCTTTTCATCTTGCAAAACTGATACTCTATACCCTTTAAACAATAACTCTCTATGCCCCTTCCTGCAGCCCCTGGCAACCACCATTCTTCTTTCTGTTTATAGAATCACATGGTATTTGTCTTTGTGTCTAGCTTATTTCACATAGCATAATGTCCTCAATGTTCATCCATGTAGTAGCACGTGTCAGAATGTCCTTCCATTTTAAGGCTGAATAATATTGTATTGATACACCACAGTTTGTTTATCTATTCATCTGTTGATAGACACTTGGGTTGCTTCTATCTTTTGACTATTGTGGATAATGCTGCTATGAACATATGGCTCTTTGAAACCGTTCAGTTCTTTTGGGTATATACCCAGAAGTGGCATTACTGGATCATATAGTAGTTCTATTTTTAATGTTTTGAAGAACTGCCATACTGTTTCCACAGTGGCTACACCATTTTACATTCCTTCAAACAGAATATAAGGGTTCGAATCTCTCCACATCCTCACCAACTTTGGTTGTTTTCTGTTTCTTTGACAACAACCATCCTAATGGGTGTGAAGTACTACCTGATCATGGCTCCCGTTTGCATTTGCCTAATGACTAGTGATTATGAGCATATTTTCATGTGCTTGTTTGCCATTTGTGTGTCTTCTTTGGAAAAATGTATATTCAAATGCTTTACCCATTTTTTAAATTAATTTTGAGAGAGAGAGAGAGAGAGAGAGAGAGAGAGAGAGAGAGAGAGAGAGAAAGGGGGAAGAGAGAAACAATGATTTGTTGTTCAACTTATTTATGCATTCATTGTTTGATTCTTGTATGTGACCTACAACCTTGGTGTGTCCGGATGATGCTCTAACCAACTGACCTACCGAGCCAGGGCCATTGGTTGATTCGATTCTTTTTTTTTTTTTAATGAATTTATTGATTTTTAAAGAGAGAGGAAGGGAGAGGAGGAGAGAGAGGGAGAGAGGGAGAGAGAGAGACACATCGATTGGCTACTTCCTACATGCCCTCTATTGGGGATTGAGCCCGAAAACCAAGCATGTGCCCTGATGGGGAATAGAACCAGCAACTTTCTTGTACACAGGATGACGCCCAACTGAGCCACACTGACCAGGGCCATTGGTTGATTCTTGTATGTGCACTGACTGGGGATTGAACCTGCAACTTTGGTGTATGAAGACAATGCTCTACCCAACTGAGCTAACTGACCAAGGCCTTTACCTATTTAAAATAGGGTTGTTTGTTGTTGTTGAGTTGACCTCTTCAACCTCTTTTCATGTCACTGTCCCACTTGATTAGTATCCTAGAAGCATGAAAAAGATCTGTTTCTCAGAGACATATGTATTCTTTCCCACCTTTTGCAGCTGCTAATCTATTTGCTAGGAATGCTCTTTTTACAGTTCCTCCAATGACTGGCCACTCCTCCTTTAAGAACTAGCTGAAATGTCCCTTCAGAGAATCTTTCTTTTTTTTAATCCTCACCCAAGGATATTTTTTCCATTGATTTTTAGGGAGAGGGGAAGAGAGAGAGAAAGACAGAGAGAAACATCAATGTGAGAGAAACACATCAATTGGTTGCCTCCTGCACAAGCCCTGACCTGGCTTCAGGCCTAAGGAGGAGCCCACAACCAAGGTGCATGCCCCTGACCAGAATCAAATCAGGGACCCTTTGGTCCGCAGGCCGACAGTCCATCCACTGAGCCACACCAGCTAGGGCCAGAGAATTTTTCTTGACCATCCATCTAAAGCCATTTCCCTATTTAATCTCATATCACTGTTTCTTTCCTTCCTGGAATTTAATCACAATCTGCAATTACCTCATTTGTTTACATATTTACTTGGAACTTACATTTACATGGAATGCAAGTGCCAGGGAGATGCAGAAATGCTGCCTAATGTGGTCACTGCTACAACCAGGGCCCAGCATAGTACCTGGCGCACAGTCTGGGCCCCATATTTACTGAATGAATGAATCCCCACTAATCTAGGTTTGATGTCACAGGAATTTTCTGGTGCTGAGTTCCAGACTTTAATTCTTGAGTCGGAAGCATAGTACTATTAAAATCATGGACATTGCTTTAGTTTCCCAGAAGCAATGGGGAAGCATTCTCTGTGTCTCCCCAACAGAGACAGAGACTGTGGTAGTTTGCTGTGGCCATCCTTACCCTTCACCATGTGCCTGAAGTAGAGTTAGCTTCACAAATCTCAAAGTCCTGTGAGATTTGCAGAATACTTGGGATTCTGGGAATGACTTGGGCTTTATCAGTCTCCTTGGTGCCAGATATGTCAGTAAGAGTATCTTTAGTTAGTAGTCAAAAGATAAAAATGAACTCTCGATATCACAGGACACTAAAAAAATCAGAATTATTTTATTTAAAAATATTTTCAAAGGCTAATGCCATAGTGGAACAACCCACGGATAGTTGAACCAAACTCTCAGGGAATTAGAGGAGCATCACCCAATGCAAGCAGGTCTGTATAAATACACATAGTTTATAAATGAGCACAACAGAAGGTATACTGGCCCAAGAGAACCAGGCTGGAATACAAGAGGGAGAAACAGAGAGAGGACCCTCCAGAGGGACAGGCACACCCAAACCACTGAAAGCCCTAGACCCTGCGAGGGCCTGCAAAGCCACCTACCCTGCAGCATGCCTCTTGCCCTTTCTGAGCCTGGGGCATGGCTGGAGGCCATTCATCAGCATCTTGGCCCAGCCACCCATGACTTGGCATCTCTCATGGCCTCTGGTTCAACTTAGCAAGGCTCAGAGAATGGATCTATTCTCCTCACCCTTCAGCAAGGACCAAGGAGGTGAGGCTCTAGGGCAAGTAGGATTATTTTCCTGAAAATAGTATGAAAAGGAGTGATGAAGGGGCCTGGTTCCAAAAAAAAAAAGGATGGGTACTCATCCAGTGTGGCATTGTGGGGAAAACAGAACAGTGAGTTTCACCTGAGATATGCAGATTTGGTACAAGCAACCCACAAGGCCAGGCTCTAAATTTAATCCTACAACTTGGCATGGGGAGAAGATGAAGAGACCTTCAGTTTGAGCTTTGGAAGTTGTCACCTACCATCAGTCCCTCCAGTCCTCATGTGGGTTTGTCATAAACAGGACAGATGGTTCTGTAATAAATAATCTCCACTTGGACTTCTCCCCGGTTACCCTCTCAGGTGCCTGAAAAGGGGAAAACACCACTCACCCCATCACCAGTGACTTTCCCCGATGCTGCTGACCTCCTCAGTAAGGCCCTTACAGAACCTTCAAAATCACTATCTTAGCCGAAACCGGTTTGGCTCAGTGGATAGAGCGTCGGCCTGCGGACTGGAAGGTCCCGGGTTCGATTCTGGTCAAGGGCATGTACCTGGGTTGTGGGCACATCGATGTTTCTGACTCTCTCTCTCCCTTCCTCTCTGTAAAGAATCAATAAAATATATTTTTAAAAAAATCACTATCTTAGCAGAAGGGACTTCTGGGGAGAGCAGGCCAGAGTTCTGGGGCACAGCGAAGCTTTTTATACGAAAGACGACCTTGACAGAGAAGGAGGAATCTCTACAGCAAAGCCACTACTGTGTTTACCCTTTGCATCCTCTATCTCTACTGTCCCTAGAGGTATCAGACAGACCCCCTTGGCTTGGTCCCTGTACTGTACCAGGCACACTTTGGACATCTTCACTTCATTCATGGATAACAGACCCCATGGAGTGGCTACAGGTGATATGAATGATTTCTGCCCTATGGTGGCCCAACACCACCATGCCCAGCTACCCAGCCAAGCCTCCCAACAGGCTGCTATTGGCCACATCCATGATCCAGGGAGTCAGGCAGAGAGAAAAAAGCAATACTGCAGATCAAAGCCACCACCCTTGTCATACCTACTTTCCACCTGGGCATATTGGAAATGTTTGCGTACACCAAGGGGAGATCTGGTACCAGTCTATGATCAAAGGCCCTACTACACCTGTCTCACCAGAAGTGGCAACTGAGGATATGGAATGCTCTGTTCTCCTTCACGGCTCTGCCACTGTCCGCTGCTCCAGTCCTCTCCGCCTCTTCATGAGTGGCCAGAACAGTCTCAGCACAGAGCACAAATGTTCCTTTCTTGAAGGAATCCTGGCTACAAGCCCTTTCATAATTTGCCCCCACTTCCCTATAGTCTTCCCTAGGCCAGATGGGTCCCTGCAGAGAAGTCCTTTGCCCAAAGCAGGGACTCTCAGTATATGGGGAGAGAGAAGAGCCCACACTGGTGGTTTGGGTTCTAGCTCTGTCCCACCACTGGAGTGAGCCATGTGACAGTCAGAGAGCTGCATTCCAGGTATCAAAGCACGGCCTTTGTCCCTTGGGGTGGTCTGTTTCTAAGGAACAAAGTAAATTTTTTTCCCACGTAAGTGATTGTTGAATTTTCATGTACAGAATTCCTCAGCTGGTTCTAAAAACCTGGTTTTTTTTGTCTGAGTTCAAAAATTGTAGGAACTTTGTAAACAGGTACTTCAGATCACTCATTGGAGGAAGGAGAAGAGTTGGGGGAAGAGGAGGGATCTGGAATGTTTTCCTTCATAGTCAGTCCCAGCACAACAGCAGCAGCAGAAACCAAGGGGACCGTTGATGGAACCTTAGCACCCAAGGCATTCTTCTTGGAGGAGTGGGGACAAAGGCCAAGTGGCTGTTACCTGCACATAGGAGAGATGCGTAGATCAAAGAAAGGGCTTAGAAGGTAGAGAGTACGTCACTGAAGCCATCCCCTATCCCCCATAAAGTGGGTCAGGTGGGAATCTGTGTACCCCACATACTCTGCCCAATCTTGCTTGGGGCCATCGAGCCAGCTTATCAAGGGTAGGGCCAATTCAGCCAAGGTAACAAGCAGCCTGGCTGTAGGTTTTGGTCCCAGTCCTTAGCCCTGAATCCCAGAGGCATTGGAAAGAGAAAGGGCATCACCTGTGCCCAGGGACTGGGCCATCCCAATTCAGGGAGCATAACTGCTGTTCCAGCCGGGAAATGCGGAATGCCAGATAGGATGAGGACATGACCAAGAAGCAGATCCTGGAGGAAAAGGGAGCAAGAGTTTTTCTCATCTAGAAAAAGGGCACTTTTAGAGGCTCACCAAAAGTAGGAGTGGGATTAAGCTCCTCTTGCAATTGGAAGAATTAAAGAACCCTTTGCCCTGCAGCCATGTTCAAGCCTGGGCATCTTTCATCCCAAAGGCCACATGGGGGTCCTGAGACTCATCTCCATGGAGGTGTCCTCAAAGCCCAGCAGGGGTTCTGGGTTCTTCAGCTGACCCCACTTCCCTCTGACCAGCCACCTTGGTCCTGCAGCTCCTCTGGGAGACTAAGATTACCCCTAAGGTGGTAGCCCCAGGCAGCAGAGCCAGAGGATGCTGGTGAGGCAAGGTGAGAGGAACCAGGGGCAGGCTGTTCTGAAGCTCCCACCATGCTCACTATCTGCTGGTCCTCAGGCGGAGTTGGACCAGAAACTGCCCTAATGGTGGGCAGCAAGAAGGCCATGGCTTTCCTAGTCCACCTGATGGCCCTCCCCAATTCTGCCAGCCTTCTCCAATCCTATGCAACTTTTCCTTTTTTCAACAGTTTCATATCCTGCCCCTCCCCATTGCACAGCCTTAATCCTAAATTATAAGATTGTAAAAATAAAACTGGAGATAATTTCACCACAGTAGGGCCTGCCTGCCATGTGACCTCCAGACACTAACCAGGAGCTTGCATTTGACTCAGAATCTTCCCCTTGCTCTGGACAGTGGCCTCCTCACACACCAAGACCCCTGCTCCAAACACCCATACACCACCCTCCCCTAAACAATCACCTACAGCACGAAGAAGACCTTGAGGAGCTGGTAATTCCAGAGCCTCAGCTCTTCGCTGGTCCTGGGCTCCTCCTCCAGTGTCTCCTCCTCACAGACAGCATTTTCTGCAATAAGAGAGCAGTTAGTCATCTTCCTGGGACAGCAGGACCCCAGCTCAGCATGGGGCATGCCAACCTCCTGCTGTTCTCTGAAGCTGCTCGGGCTCTTGGCTTTCCCTTACAAATTTGGAGAAAGAAACAGCTCTCAGAAGCCCCGCTGGCAGTGATGACCCCTTTTCACAGAAGTGGGAGGAGAAGAAGCCTGGTCTTTGCATGCTGTTACCGTGGGACAAGGCCCCTGAACTTACCAGACCCTGGAGGTTTCCTGGAGGAGAAGAAGCTGTCTGGGGAGTCCATGGATGCTGGAGGGATACAAGGGATGCTGTCTGGGAGGGACAGGGACCTGGAGGCAGGGCATATTTTTCTCCACTTCATCTCAGGGGTGAGGACTTCCTGCAGAAAAAGCAGGTGAAGCTGTCTCACCACGGCCCTTGGGATCTTATTTGCCCTAAGGTGCCCCCACCACTTTATCAAAGCTTTCTCTATATATTACCAACATAGATGCCTAGCAAGGCATGGCAGCAGGTACACGGGAAGGGGAAAACCATTGCCATAGCAATCACGTGTCTCTCCTATCTGCTTCCTTGCTGTAACCAGCTACTCTTCCAGGGAACAATGTCTTTGAAGACTGCTAGTGTAGATCCAAGACATGAGATCCAAGATGTAAGCCCACTGAAGTATATGGTCAGGTCAGCTGAGTCTGAGAAAGCCCAGAACAACCTATCTTAGATGGGATAAGTCATGACTTCTAATCTGGGCTCTACGCCTAAGCATGTCACCGATCTTGGCAGTGGGCACTTAAGGTCCCCATCAACAAAAATGGGAACATCACCTTCTATCTCCCTGCATGGCATTGTGCATGCTGCATGCTTGGCTGACTGCTACAGTTACTGAAGAAGGCTTCAAACACTCTGTAGCCATTTTCACCCCCATCCCTACTCTAGAAACTCAGCTCTACTTACCCCAAACCCCAGCTACCAAATGAAACTGCTGGGACCTCAGCAAATCTAAAATGAGTCTGCCTGGGTTCTACATTAATAGCCTTTGAAGTTCTTCCCCAGGGACATCTCTATCCCCTTAAAGGCCCTCCTGACTTTGCTGAAGGGAAGAGGACGGGTCACTGGCTCCGTGCTGGGACAGTGTGGGGGTCACTGGCTCTGTGCCGGGACAGTGTGGGGATCACTGGCTCCGTGCCGGTACAGTGTGGGGGTCACTGGCTCCGTGCCGGTACAGTGTGGGGGTCACTGGCTCCGTGCCGGGACAGTGTGGGGGTCACTGGCTCCGTGCCGGTACAGTGTGGGGGTCACTGGCTCCGTGCCGGTACAGTGTGGGGGTCACTGGCTCCGTGCCGGTACAGTGTGGGGGTCACTGGCTCCGTGCCGGGACAGTGTGGGATTCACCCGGGACAGTGTTCTGGGGGCTAGACATCTGTTCTGCTCATAAAGTCAGCACATCTGCCAGGACCTGGTGGCTCTGCATGGTTGGAGTGTGGCAGGTCTAGGAGAACCCTGACAGCATGACTGCTGGCTCTTGAGCCTGGTTCCTTAGTTCTACATCGTGGGCCCTGCCTGGGAGGCCCTGAAGGCTTAGCACCACAGGCAATCTCAAGCCAGCAGCTTTGCTCCCAGCCTCAGCTCTCACCAGAGACTCGCACTCAGGTTCTTCTGAAAATTCTCTTACACTCAAACTCTTCTTGCTGGAAGGCTGAGGAGGAAAGGGAACAGCAGTTACTTGTCCTTCTGGAACAGCGAAGATCAGGCATGGGGAAGCATTACCTCCATTTTGGATCAGATGGAGCCTAGCTCCCGTAGTTTGTAGGGGTGCCCTATCTAATGCTGGAGGGTCAAGTCCAAGGCAATCTACTCTCCCCTGCTGCTGCCCCTCCCCCTTTCTTACCATAGGCCAGAGAGAGCTATAGGCATCCTGGGGAGCAGCCCCATGCTCCTGACTGTCTGTCTATACACAGAAGAAGCACAAGTGAGGGCATCTACACGGGGACATACAAAAGTCACTGGTCTCAAAGAGACATGTTCACAAATACAGACAAACAGTCCAAGGACCGCCTCTGATACACTGAGCCCGAGCCTGTTACTCCCCTCTCTCTGCCCCGTTCCCTGTGCTGAAGAAATGGGCTAACCTCCCCAACAGCCTTGTCCCAAAACGTCAGTCCAGGCCTGAGCAGCCTCCCTGGCCTGACTCCTGTCCCTGAGCTCCATACCTGCAGGTGAGTGCAGACCCTCCTCAGCATGTCATATACACTGTCCCGGGAGAGCAGTGACACAAAAACATACTGGGACATGGAAAGAAAACAAAGGGGTGGGGTGAGTAAAGACTTGAGAGTGTGCTGAGTCAGGCTGTGGGCTCCTGGGGTTGCGATGGGGAAACTGACAAGAGAGTGTGGCTCAGAGACTCACTGACCTTCTGGCTAGTGTTGGTGGTGATGGCCAGGCCATTGGGAAGGAGCCGTGCCATCTTGTGTTTTTTGACCATTTGCACAGACACCACAGGAATGACCACCTGAGGGAGGAGAGGCATGCTTCTTTCAGGACTCATTCCCAAGGACATGGTCCCTTTGCTTCCAGAACAGGGCCCCAGCCCCAGCTTGCAGTGAGCCAAGTACGGGCACCATGGAGAAGCCTGGCCCCATGTGGGAGAGTGTGTGAACCTCCCCCTTCCCATGCTCGTTCCCCTTCCCGTTACCCACACCGTGCCCAGCCTTGGCAGCACATGTCACTCCAGGCTTTCACCCTCTTACCCAGGAGGCCAAGGATGGCTGTTCTGTTGAATCCCATACTCTAATAATGGAGTTCCCTGAGCTATGCCCTGACCACACCTATGGCTCCCCCTAAGTACGACATCTCACTCTGATTCTGAAGGCATTTCAGAGGCAGAATAATTTGGCTGTGAACTGTTCAGACCAACTCAGGCCGATGTAGAGTCTATATTTGGGGCCTCTGTTTTGGAAGGGGTTGCATTGACACCAGGTGAGACGCCTCATAGCTGTTCATCCAACCAGTGAGGGGCCTCACCAGCATGCAGGAGGACAGGTGTGACTCAAGGCATGCCCGCAGGGCAGGGGCCTCTCTCTTTCCTGGGCTGGGCAGGGATCTCACTGGACTATGGCAGCCCTTACCACTCATTACTACCTTGATATCCTTGCCAAAGAGGCTGGCATGGAAGCAGAGCCAGTTGGGGGAGATATAGAGCCGACCCTGGAGAAGGAGGTCCCTCTGGAGGGCACAGGAGCACACTGGGAAGTCACAGGAGAGAAGACTACCATGAGCAAGGTCTGTTGGGAAGCCCCAGGGCCTGGGTCCTCACAGTGAAGAGTCTAGAGTCCAGCCTCAGGAACTGTCTTCCTTAGAATGCGACTTCCCAAATAACCCATCCTCCAGTACCCCAAGAGTCCTAACTGCCCCCACTCCACCCCAGCAGACTGCTAGATGTTTCCTCTTTCTCCATCCATGTCTCAAATGGTCCAGACAGGTTTCTGCCCTGGTCCCACTCAAGCCTGGATTCTCACTCCCTCGGGCAGAATGCCCTGCCCTGCCCTTTCCTGCCTACAGAGAGGACCCTGACTGTGCCTGACAGGAAAGAAGTGCCTGACTGATAAGAACAGAACAGAAATAAGATTTGGAAGCCCTTTAGTTTCCTCAAGAAAACTTTCATAAATTCAACTCTATATCCCAAACCAGTTCAGTCTTCTCACACTTTTGAAGAAAAAAGAACCAACCACATCCAAAGGGCAGCCGGTTCCCATTTCTAAATTGTGAGGACAGTACCTGGGCCTCAGGCACTACAGGCACCTGCCCAGGCATACCAGGGACACAGCTCACCTTTGAGAACCACCTCTTCCAAGGGGATGTCCTTGAACAGCTTGTGGTATTGCTGGTTGTATTTACTTAGTAGTGTCTGCAAATACAGGGGCTTGGGCTGAGAAGTCCTGGGAGATCACAACACCAAAGGGGCCCTGCTCCAGCCACCAGGAAATACTGCCACAGGGCCCCCTGGGGACTGAACATAAAGTCACTGGTAAATAGCCAGTGGGTGTAGAAGGCTGAGTTCCAAGCACAGCTTGTCTCCTGGTAATTCTGGGTCCTAATAGGCAGCCTGTGACTGGAGGGGAATGCACCACTCCCACCCAGGAGGGACACCACTCAGGTTTCCTGGTGGCCAAGGAGCCAGCAGTCACTGAATTCAGGCAGCCCAGGGCCCCTTTCTTGCTGGGCAGCAAGTAGTCAGCCTCCACACACTTACCCCTTCTCGACTGTATTTCTTTATCTCTTCACCCTTCAAGCCTTCTGGCCAGTGCAGACTGCAAAGGAGACATTCCATTCCAGGGACAAGGCACCCTTGAGTCCTACCCATGGATCCTCAGTGCCAATTCTGCCCTGGCTTCAAGCCAGAAGCTTGGGGCAGAGATTGGAGAGGAGTCCTCTAGAGGCCACAGCAGTGATAAGCACAGCAAGCAAATAGCTCGACCCTGGGGAAGGACACTCCTGGATGCACAAAGGGGTCGCACAAAGGGGTCTCAGTGGCCCCTCCTCCCAGACAGCTGTGAGCAGTGTCCCCCTCCCTCCAAGGAGATTTGCTCAGCCTGAGCTTAGATCTCTCAGAGATGCTTAGGAGCCATCCACCCCTGGGTGTCAAACACCCTTTCCTATTTCTGTGGCCAAGAGGTAAGCAGAGAAGCAGACCCAAGAATCAATGAGCAGTAGGCACAGGGATGAGGATCAGTTTGGGGAGTGGGTGATATGGAGGTGTCAGACTCACAGCTCCGGGGCCTGCCCATGGGCCATGATCCCCGGCAGAACGGCCTCCTAGCAGCCTCCTCCTGGTGGCCTGGAGCTCTGCGGTGAGGAGTTCCGCAGACTCACCTGACCTGAAGGAGGCTACCAGGCTGCGAGAAATGGGGTGGTGCTGAAATGCAAACCTTTGTCCTAGCCAAATTGGCCTGAGGACAGGTGGGCAGGGGAGGAGGCTGGTAACCTGAGCTGCCTAGACTCTGCTAGGTCCCAGTGCACTGGGTCAGGCCTGGGAGTGGGAGGAAGAGGCCCTAGGCAGCCTATGCTAGACCTAACATCTTAACAGTCCCATTTCTAACAGGTCACCTCCTGAGGACTTCCCACCCCCAATCCACATGCTTGTCTGCCTTGGGGAAGGGGGCTCACCTGGAGTCCGGGGTTGTCTGAACTCTGACTAGTTTCTCTGTGCAGAACAGGGGGCTCTTCAGAGAAGTCATCTTCCTATGCATCTGTTGGTTGCTAGGAAGAAACAGGCCCACATCAGGAAGGGAGTTTTCATGGGGACACCTTTCCCTACTAGCTCCACCATACCCAGGGCAGCCTGCCCGCCACCCAAGACTGGCCCTGCTATTTGGGGTGAGGTTGAAGACATTGCAGTCCGGAGACAGCAGCTCAGGCAGAGGGTCTGCGCAGCTGACTAGGTGGGAGTCTTACTAGTTGTCTTCTCTAGAAGCCTGAAGGTCAGCTTATTACTGGGCCGGAAGAAAATCAATCTACGTCATCCGAGCACCAGGCAGTTAGGCCTCTGGCCCCAACCTTAAGAAGGCACACTGGGAGGATGGAGTCTGAGATTTAATCAAGGCTGAAAGCAAGTTTCTGAGGGACCCAAGCAGCATTATCCTAAACCAGGGGTGGGAAACATATAAGGCCCTCAAAATAATTTGGTCTGGCCCCGCCAAGGCATTAGGGGTGAGTTAATTAAATGTTTGACCAAATATAGCAGGCTAATTTTTAAGTTGATAATTTTGTATGGCCCTCGAATGATGTTATAAATATCCAAATGGCCCTTGGCAGAAAAAAAGGTTCCCCAACCCTGCTCTAAACCTCTGGGTTCATAGAAAGGACGCCAAACACAGGAGGCCTTATCAAAGCTGAGGAGCTGATGCAGCGGATGGTGTGAGAGTGGACTCCAGTCAACCCTCAGGTTAAGTGTGAGCTGGGAAGGGAGGGGCTGCCTCACACCAGTAAGCCACCATTGGTTTTCTTTGAACAATCTGGGTAGCTCAGCCTGAAAACCAAACCATCTCCAGAGAGGCCTGACTGGCATGGCTCAGTGGTTGAGCGGCATGGTTTGATTCCCGGTCTGGAGTTGCAGCTCAATCCCTAGTGTGAGGCATGCAGGAGGCAGCTGATCAATGACTCTCCCATCATTGATACTTCCATATCTCTCTCCCTCTCCCACTCTCTCTTAAATGCCCAGAGAGAAGGCCCTGGAAGGAGGAGACACCCTCTTCCTGGGCAGAGAGGGCTAGTCCTTCAGTGGCCTTTGAGTTCATGCCTCCACTAAGTGGCTCCAAACAATAAGGTTCCCTGCTTTCTGCCCCTCCAGGGAAGACAGGCTTGAAATCAATAACGGCTGAGCAGTCAAACTAGCCCCCAGACGGGTGGGCCCAGGGGCTGATGGGAAGAGAGCGTGGCCAAGAAGCAGAGCCAAGGCAAGACATGCAGTGGTGGGAATAGCTAACAAAGTCCTGTGCTATAGTCTCTCAGCAGATAAGGACCTAGAACCTGCACTTCCCAGCACTCAGTTGCTCTCAGCTCTGTGACACAGGCAAGTCAAAGTTCTCTCCCTCAAGGACAGAGTTACAGCCCAGTGTTGTCCTGTACACCAAAAGGGTGTGGGTTGGATCCCCAGTTGGGGTGCGTGTGGGAGGCAAAACCATCGATATTTCTCTCTCCCTCTCCTTTCCTCTCTCTCTAAAATAAATAAGAACATATCATTGGGCGAGGATTTAAAACAACAACAACAGAGTTACAGACTCAGCAGAGATCTGCCAGGACCCTCTGAGATTATTTGCTGGTAGTCTGACCCCTTCCACCACGCCATTGTACAGATTAGGAAATGGAGACCTTGCAGGGGACGGGCTGCATCCAGTGTCACAACCATCTGACCTGATGACCTTACCTACAAAATCAGCCCAGTCACAGCTGTAACCTGGTGACCCGCCCTCAGTCTTATGGAGAGTTTTCATATAGACATCAACATGTATTTCCTGAATCTTGCAAAGTGACAGATTGTACTAGTGACTTGACCCTTTGACTCCCAAAGTTAATTTTGGAATTTATTTGGTTCCATCATTTTACATTTCATGGAGGTTTTTTCCTTCCTTGGTTTTTTATTAATGCTCATTAGAGAGAGTATATAAATATAAAATATAGAAATATGATCACCAAAATCACCCATAAGAAAAATATTCTCCCAAATCACTTCAAAATACATTTATACATAAATACATAATTTATGTGAGTGGGATTATATGTCATATAATTTGTACACCCTATTTTTTGTTGTTGTTGGTAATCCTCACCTGAGGACATTTTTCCATTGATTTTCAGCCAGAGTGGAAGAGAGAGGGAGAGACACAGAGAGAGAACCATCGATGTGAGAGGGACACATCAACCGGTTGCCTCCTGCACACACCCTGACCAGGGTCGGGGATCTAACCTGCAACCAAGATACATGCCCTTGACCAGAATCGAACCCAGGACCCTTCAGTCTGCAGGATGATGCTCTATCCACTGAGCCAAATTGGCTAGGGCTGTACACCCTATTTTTGATGCTTAACATGATTTCATGAGAAATTCCCCATGTCACTGTCCATTCCTAAGATAGATTCTCAGAAGTGAAATTAATGGATTGAGAATGAACATTTATCAGGCTCTTTAGACCCACTTTCAAAATGCTTTCCTGATGCTATACCAATTGACATGGCCTCAGCACTATATTAGGGTGCCATGTCCTTATATCCAAGCCCTACATTGGATATTATCTTTTTCTCATTTTTTGCAAACTTGATAGATGAGAATATATTGTTTCATTTCTATTTCTACCTACTGGTAGGTTGAACATTTTACCCCCAAATACTTATTAACCATTGAAATGTGAATTGTCTATAAGGATCTTCATGTTTTTCTTATTGATTTGTATAAATTCTTTTTTTTTCCAATCCTCACTTGAGGATATGTTTATTGATTTTAGAGAAAGGAAGGGAAAGAGAGAGGAAGGGGGATGAGAGAGAAAGAGAGACATCGATGTGAGAGAGAAATAATGATATAAAATATAGAAATATATAAAGAAGGAACCCAAGGATTGGTTGTCTCTCGTATGCACCCAACCAGGGACCTAACCCACAACCTAGGTATGTGCCCTGACCAGGAATCGAACCCATGACCCTTTGGTGTATGGGACGATGCTCCAACTAACTGAACCACACCAGCCAAGGCGATTTATATAAATTCTTTTTTTTAATTAAATCTTTATTGTTCAGATTACATTTGTTCCTCTTCCCCCCCCCCATAACTCCCCTCCTTCCAGTTCCCGCCCCACCCTCCGCCCTCACTCCCCACCCACTGTCCTCATCCATAGGTGTACGATTTTTGTCCAGTCTCTTCCCACATCTCCCATTCCCCTTTCCCCCCCAAGAATAGTCAGTCCATTCCCTTTCTATGTCCCTGGTTCATTATAATCACCAGTTCATTCTGTACATCAGATTATTTATTCACTTGATTCTTAGATTCACTTGTTGATAGATGCATGTTTGTTGTTCACAATTTGTATCTTTACCTTTTTCTTCTTCCTCTTCTTAAAGGATACCTTTCAGCATTTCGTATAATACTGGTTTAGTGGTGATGAACTCCTTTAGCTTTTCCTTATCTGTGAAGCTCTTTATCTGACCTTCAATTCTGAATGATAGCTTTGCTGGATAAAGTAATCTTGGTTGTAGGTTCTTGGTATTCATCACTTTGAATATTTCTTGCCATTCCCTTCTGGCCTGCAAAGTTTCTGTTGAGAAATCAGCTGACAGTCGTATGGGTATTCCCTTCTAGGTAATTGAGTCTCTTTCTCTTGCTGCTTTTAAGATTCTCTCTTTGTCTTTTGCTCTTGGCATTTTAATTATGATGTGTCTTGGTGTGGTCCTCTTTGGATTCCTTTTGTTTGGGGTTCTCTACGCTTCTTGGACCTGTAAGTCCATTTCTTTCACCAGGTGGGGGAAGTTTTCTGCCATTATTTCTTCAAATAGGTTTTCAATATCTTGCTGTCTCTCATCTTCTGGCACTCCTATAATTCTGATATTAGTGCGCTTGAAGCTGTCCCAGAGGCTCCTTACACTATCTTCACACTTTCGGATTCTTTTTTCATTTTGCTTTTCCAGTTGGGTGTTTTTTGCTTCTTCGCATTTCAAATCTTTGGCTTGATTCTTGTGCTCCTCTGGTCTGCTATTGGGTATAATATTCTTTATTTCAGTCCGTGTATGCTTAATTTCTAGTTTCTTTATCATAGCATCAAGGGTCTCATTAGTTTTCGTGAGGCTCTCCTCAAGTTTATTGCAAGCCCTCAAAATTGCGTTTTTTAGCTCTATATCCTCCATTTCTGTCATGTTTTTTTGTCTCCGCATTTTTTATGCTTTCTTGGTGCACCCCCTTGTGGTCTTTGTGCGCAGTCTTGTTCTAGTTAAGCCTTGATTATTGTAGTTAATACTAGAGGGATTTGACCACCAGGCCAACTGGCTGTGGGAATCAGCTGTGGGAAAACTTCTGTCCTCTGGGGAGGTGCTAATCTAGCCTTTGCCTGAGGGGATCCGGCAAATGGCTCTGCGCAGGGCTTGGGCGGGGCGGGTCCCAAGGGATCAACAGGGCGGGCGGAGGGAGCAGTTATGGCTGCTCTCAGTCCGTCCCCAGGGGCTCTGCCTCTCTGTCCCAGCAACCGCTGCAAACCTCGGAGGGACCGTAGCCAGACAGTCCTGCTTCTCCCGTTTGAGTCTGGGAGCTCAGAGCTGAGACTTCCTCCTGATTGAAAACGACAACCGCGCCCTCAGCCACCAGCCCGCTTTGCGCGCGCACCTCCGTACCTTTAAATTTTCCCCACTGGGCCTCCTCTGAGCCTCGGAATGCTGTTGTCTTTCCTTCTAGTTGAAGAGTCTCTCCTCAGCCAGCCTTCCTATGGTTCTGGGTGATGTCCGTTCCGTCTTTTAGTTGTATTTTTGAAGTGGTTGTTTGCGGCAGCAGTCTCCGGTGTTTACCTATGCCGCCATCTTGGTCGGAATCGATTTATATAAATTCTTTATTGAGAATATTAACCCTTGGTTTATCATTTTTGCAAAACATGTCATTTGCCTTTTAGTTTTGTCTGGTATTATTGCTATAATTATGTTTAATTTTTGTGTGGTAGATTCCATCTATCTCTTTCTAAATTTGTTTTAATTAATTGATTTTAGAGGAAGGGAGAGAAACATTGATTT